AAAATATTTCATGTAATCTTCAAGTTTGGAAACTTCAGGAGGCAAAAATACAAGCGAACGTATACATTTAAACAGATCAGATAAAATTAATCCTTCAATGAGACACATATTAAAACAAATAGCATAATAAGATTATGTATGTTGCTCAATATTGATCAACATTGAAAATAAATCAATTTAATATCGAAAACACGATACTTTTCGCATGATTTCGATACCTGTGTTACAACAAAATTGCAATATCAACAGATATTTCGAGATAGCTTAAAAATAATTATAACGAATTTATGAAATATGCTGTATTGAATGCCTCAAACACTGGTCGATCATTTCTACGTATGTAAGAAATATTTTTGTTATAATACACTTTTATGAATTCTTATAATAATGTAAAGGTTTAATGTTTAAAACAGTATATCTACTTACTTTTTTGTTTAGTATTTCACTTTACATTCAATAATTACAATCTCAACCACGTGTTCCCAGAACAAAGTTAAGGTCTAAAAGAACGAATAGCTGACCTATGAACATACAGTTTCTAGAGTGGCGTCCCTATAGTCATTCGTTAAAAATAAAATATAGTGTATTAATTTATTTTTCCAAATTGGATTGCTAAGTCTAGATAAAAATTGGACATGTTTTTTGTTTGACAAATTAAAAAATCATTAATTACGATAGAGAGCACTTAAGGATACCGAAAAGCAATAAATTATTTTATTAATACGTTATTACCAAGTACTTCTTTTTTTAATATTGGCTTTTTTTATATTATAATTTTTTTCATTGTATTACTAAAAATTGATTTAATTTTATTATAAATTATAAATAGTTTAATAGTTATAAAGTTTAATAATTATTTTTTCTTTGATCGTAATTTTGTTCTTCATGTGACAGACTCTTAAAAGGTAAGAATTTTAATATCTCATATAATTATTTGTATATTTATTTAAAATGCAAGAAGTTTTAAGCGACCGTGAATACTATATTTGAAAAACTTCAACTTCTCAGCTGTTTCCCACGTTGTTGTACAACAATTGGCATCCACCATTTTCTTTATTTTGCCGTCATCTTCTTGAAATGGACGACATAAACGTAGTGCATCTTTCAAATCAAAATTATTAGAACGAAACTTCGACAAGCAATTTGGAGGTTGTCGTTTACTTAATACAACTTCTCTGTAAATAGTACATAACTTGTTTCTGGCTTATACTAATACTCTTACGATAATAAAAATGCAAAATATGACGAAAATGCTCACTTTAATTTTTTATTTCTGATGTGAATCCAACAAAAAACTACAGACATATCAAAACACAAGATTTTTAGTAACGTTTGAAATATTAGTTGCTATAAGGTAAAATGATTTTAAGTTTAAATTGAGTCTTGTAAGGTTAGACTTTGTATCCTCTATATTTTAAAATTATTCAATACTACATTCTTAAAGATTTAAGTAATCGCGTTAAGATTAAAATTGCAAGAAATTATAGTTAAAATGTTACCGAATATTTGTTAAGCAATTTATGAAAATGACATGGWACATGTAATGCATATATAATATTCGATTATGATGTAAATTAACGTTTAATTGTTAAATAAGCTACAACAATTATTATTAAGATTATCTTGACATAAATTAAAAATAAAATTTAAAAAAAGAAAAGTAACGATCATATTAATACATAATATTTTATATAGTCTATATATTAAGTAATTATTTGCATATTACAAAAGTGTTCTACAGTCCATGAATGCGAGTCAAATACTATGAAATAGATGGATGTATGAATAAAAAGACACATATTTGCACGCAGCATACATTGTGAAAAAAATATATATACTCATTACAGTATAATCGTATTTATTTATCGAATGTAAAGAATAATATTCATGTCACATAACATTAACATTGAACCTTCCTTCTAAAGGAGCAACCTTCTGTTAATCGTGCTTTCCCACCAGTCGGTGTGCATAAAATWGTACGACATCCATCACACTCCACAGGTTTTTGGGCATGTGAAAAAATWGTTTTTATAGCATAGCATCCAGGACACTTAACATCCATAAAATAACTATTAGGTTTCTGCACGAGTCTCTTTAACTTGTGCTTCATTTTTTCCTCGATGGGACTTGGGTGTAAAAGATCACGAGCTAATGGCATTCTGAAATGAAAATATTTCATGTAATCYTCAAGTTTGGAAACTTCAGGAGGCAAAAATACAAGCGAACGTATACATTTAAACAGATCAGATAAAATTAATCCTTTAATGAGACATATTAAAACAAATAGTATAATAAGATTATGTATGTTGCTCAACATTGAAAATAAATCAATTTAATATCGAAAACACGATACTTTCCGCATGATTTCGATACCTGTGTTACAACAAAATTGCAATATCAACAGATATTTCGAGATAGATTAAAAATAATTATAACGAATTTATGAAATATGCTGTATTGAATGCTGCAAACACTAGTCGATCATTTCTATGTATGTAAGAAATATTTTTGTTATAATACATTTTTATGAATTCTTATAATAATGTAGAGATTTAATGTTTAAAACAGTATATCTACTTACTTTTTTGTTTAGTATTTCACTTTACATTCAATAATTACGATTTTAACCATGTGATTACTGAACAAAATTAACCTTTAACGATTCGTGGTCTCCGCTACGTACACATCGTTTGCTTGTTTAGTAACTTTAAAGGTAGGATCTAAAAGGACGAATACCCATCATATGAACATATAGTTTCTAGAGTGGCGCCATTGTAGTCTCTCGTTAAGAGTAAAAAAATACTTGAATCGTATTCGCCCAAGATAAAGTATTATATTGTAGTGATTTAATTACAATAATTATTGTGCATAAATATTCGCAGACTAAATGCATATATGTATACGATTTTTTTTTTACCATTGAATTGTATTTAAAAATTTGAATATTCAAATTTTTGACAGCATAAATTTCGTACTTGACTTTATAAAATGTAATTAGAAAAAATGTACTATTAATTGTAATCCAAAAATGAATTAATAGTGATAACATAAATTTTATTAATTTGAAAATATTTGGAGAAATAGTTTTTTTTCTACTTAATTGTTTTATCCTGTTATTGTTTGTTTTTGTGTCTTTTTTTGGTTTTTCATTTTGTTTTTTTGTTAGAATTGGAATGATATGACGGTATGTTGAATAAAAAAAACAAATTAGATTATCTATTATTTGCATAAATTATAATTTATTTCCTATCTTTTTCTTGTTGCATGGTATTGAAATCGAAAACGTAACTATTGTAGTATTAAATACTCCAAGTATATACAGCCACTGTCATGATATGTAAGATTGATTTGAAAAATTAGATTTGCAACGTGTATTAATTTACTTTTCCAAATTGGATTACTAAGTTCAGGTAAAAACTGGACATATTCGATTGACGAATTATAAAATTCTTAATTATGATAGGGCAGTTAAGGATACCGGAAAGCAATCAATTATTTCATTAATACGTTATTACCAAGTATTTTTTTTAATATTAGCTTTTTTTATATTATTATAATTTTGTTCATCGGATTACTAAAAATTGATTTAACTTTTGATATCCCTAAAGCACGCGTACAGATGTTCAAAGAACATTTTTATAAAATTCATAATGGCCACTTGCATTTGATTGATTATACATTAATATAACAATCGATGTTACGTCTTTCAAAATACAGATCTTTCGGTTGTAAAATCGGTTATTATTTAATTACACAATTAACATCATTTTTTGCAAGGATATTTTTTCTCCTTTTTCTTCCTTTCTTTTTAAATATCTGCGGTGATAATTCTATAAACATTATTATTATATTTATTTATTGGTCGGCCGGACATTTTGGCCGGTTGATCGTTTAAATGGGTCGCAGAATGATATATATGTATAATTATCATGCGAATTTTAATTGCAGTAAACATTAATAATTATAATAAGTATCGAGGAATGATCGTACGTCCATTTTACGAATTAAAGAGAAAAATTTTTTCTGGTGGTTATAAAGAGCGGTCAAGGAAATTTCTTTTTTATAAATTACGAAAATTAATTTTGTTCCTTGTTACTTTTCTTTTTCTTCTTTTTTTTTACTTTTAATTAATGGACAGTAAAATGCAGGATACAAAAGTATTTTGTAATATGATGTTTCCTATTATGATTTTGCATATACAAATAATGCTCTCATCAATTCGGATATGTAAATACATGTCTTTCGCAATCACGATAGATGGATTTCTTGTTTTTTCCTCTTTCTTTTCATCTGTCCTTCTTTCTTTTTCTTTTATAAATAATTCGTTAAAGAAACGCATATTAGAGTGATGCCTGTGAAAATTTGATTTCAAAATGCCCTCTCAATCTTTCTCGATAGAAGCGCTAACTAGCGATAGAACTTTCTTACTAACTCGACAAAATGCGATGATTTTCTTCGTACATGTGATTCTTTTCACAATTTTTCATTCTTAACTTTATTACACCCCTCAATGAGACAATATATCAACAAAAAATATTTTTGTTTAATGTAATTCATTTGAGTAATAGAATATATTGAGATAAAATTAAAAATTATATATGTATACACTGAGGTATCAAGTATTTGTGTAGTAAGAATATATTTTTATATTCTTACTATATAAATATTTAAATCTCTTACTGCATATATAAATAATCAAATAACATACATTTAACGAGTAATAAAACAGAGACATCAGATGATGATCGATTTTTGATTAATGTTAGAAAACATAAAATGTTAAAGATAAATTGTAAATATATTTTCCAGGCTTGTTTTTTGTAATTCTCTTTCTTTTTTTCTTTTCTTTTTAATTTAAAAAAAATGAGAACTGAATACATTCGAAACAAAGTTAGAAATAAAAAATTATAAGACATTGTATCATTTATGAGCTATCCAACTTGAAAACATTAGGCACTACTGTTTCCCCTTTAAGACAATTTTATATTCCAACCTCTGAAATTACAGCATGATTAATGACATATATTAAGGCACTTAACTTATGACTACCATAGTTATTGTACTACGATTAATCCATCGGCTTATCCAATCGTTAACGCAACAAAATCATCCCCGTTGTTCTCTTGTGCCCAGTCATTGAAATTAACTGAATATAAATACATACACATATATATTAACTTAATAAAAACATTGTTAGCTACCATCACTCTTAAAAATTTGATTTCATTAAAAAAAAAAAATTATAATTAGAATTATTAATTTATTATTTTACTTAGTACTTATATATATAAGGTACCTCACGAAATCATGACGATAATAATAAATAAAATACATGATATATAGAAGAAGAAGAAAAGAATATAAGAATGCCTATATAATAATAATAATAATAATATAAACGAGCTCCATGTTCATTTTTCACATACAAATAATAGAAAATACTTTTATAATAATTATTAAATTATTATTATTAATAGGAAGATCAACGAGGATTCTTAGGGATTCGAATCAAACAAAATGTTCGAATAAAAGTACAGCAAATGTTTACATCGAAGTAACATTACAATAGCATTTTTCTTAATTCATTGAAATTAATTACAAAAAAAAGAAAAAAAAAAAGGAAACAATTCCATTTTTGTAAATGTGATAATGCATCATATATACGATGAATATCATAGACAGAATAAAAAATATTTTCTTTGTCTTGTTTTAGTAAAATTATTAAGTATATAACAGGCCGTGCGAATTAGGAAGTTTCTACTTTGTTTTGTTTTTTGTTTTTTAAATTTGCAGTAAAAATATTGTTATTAAAGAGTATCGTTAATAATATTATAATGGAAGACACTAGTTCGTGTAATTATATCTTTCTTCTTAGGTAAATACAATTGATTACAACAATAAACTCCCGTGTAACGCAATTCTTATATAACGTGCTATATAAGAAAAAAATAAATTAATTTTTCAGTAAATAATTTTTAGTTACTATTGTTAAATAATTAAAATAAAATCGATCAAGCTATCATCCAGTTTTTTCAATTTGCTATATAATCTATTTTTAACAAAGTTTGATTGCCCCAATAAGTAAAATGTACAAAACAAATTGAACACGACGATAGTCATCGAAGCATGTTATTTATATTACATATAATACGTAATGTATTAACCGCGTTATACAGGAGTCTACTGTACTATAAAAGTGAAAAAATTGGAGATTCAGATGATGACGCTATTAATAATAGAGTAGAATGAAAAACGAATTATTTTTCTAATTCTGTCATCTAAAACTTATACTTTTTATCAATGACAATTATGTGAACACAATTTTGTAGGCCGTTGGAAGTAGGAATAGATATATTTTGGGAACGGTGCGTCTTTCTTTTCTTTTATCCAAACCATATACATATGGTGTTTGGATTAAAATGGAATCATAAAATGAAAACAATAAGAAGAAAAGATATCATTGACAGTGTTTTTAGCCAAAAATACAATGGCTATTACAAAACGACAAGATGATGATAGGAAGCCAGTTTATCTTTCTTTCTTTTTTTTGCTTTTTCTACAATACATAAATTGAGATGATTTTTTTCTTTTTTTAAATATAAGATACAATATTCCTAAATTATAAAGCAAATAAAGAAAATTCTTAAATGCAAAAATAGTGATAGTAGCTTATAATAATAATTAGACTTGCGGATTTATATATATATATAATATATATATATACGGTCTCCTTCCATATCGTCGCAAATAAATTCCTCAAATCTACGACTAGGTTAAATTCAAGGCACACGAAGGTGACCCCGTCAATTTGACGATTAGGTAAGCCGATGGGTTAAGACAATTTTTGCTCAACATATGCTTTATCAGTCTATCACTCAAGCGTCTTAACTTGTGCCATCACTTTGCCTTCCCATAATGGCAGAATCTCAGAATCATCTGTTATTTCTTCTTGTATAACTTTTACGTCTAAGTCTTCGCACTCGGTTTTAAAGAAATATCTGAAAAATAACATAACATAAAAATGAAAAATAATTCTATTTTATTTATATGTACTACCTTTCCCTCTCCACAATATATTATATGTATAATATATTTTATTATTATTATTATTATAATTTTTATTGTTGTATGAATATATACGTGAAATATGTATTTTAATTTTATAATAATATCTATACAGGATGGAGTATTTAAATCTGTACTTAAATGCCTCATCCTGTGTAGTAAAATTTTTTTGTCTTTCTTACAAATTTGATATGAGTTAATTAATTATAATATACATACCGATAACTGCCCTTTTTCGGAAGGTATTCCTTAAATTGTTTTAACGTGACGTTACGACCAGGAATTTTGGTTCGATAAGGGAATTGCTCATCACAGAAACTGAACACAACGGTGGTGAAATCTCCAGCATCTTGTTTAGTCTTTTTTAACGTAGATTGATTCGATTGATTGCAACACTGACTCTGTACAATGGGATCATGTGCTTGTTTTGATGTACTTGCATGCCGTTGTTTACAACAACCACGTACCTTTTCTTCTTCTGCTAACCTTCTTCGTGCCTCTTCCAACTGAGTTGCCTGTTCATAGACAAAGACGAACATATATTTTATATGCATGCATACATAAAAAATTTCAACTTCTTTAACACCAAAACTACTGAACCAGTTAAACTGACTAGTTTGAAAATTTTATTTTAAAATTACTCTTAATGTCAACCATTTGTATTAAAGAAATTTTTCATAACTTTTATTGCAATTGTAAAAAAATTGAATCTTAAAATCAATTAAAAGCTTCAGTTTAATTATTTAGAAATAATATCGTATTACGTCAACACAATTTTTAATACTGTACCGTATGTGGTTGTGGTAAAGGAGGCATTCCAGGATCAGCAACAAATGGTTGTGCAGGTACACCCCAACTTTCCCTACTTGTTCGTTCCAGGGAACCACTTCGAGATCCGTATTTTTTACCATGCCGGCTATGCTTAGTATCAGCTTTCTTAGTATCTGATTCTTTCAACCAAGATAATAGACGAATATCTTTGCACACGTTCAATGGTGGAGCATCGCTTACAACGCTCACACCGCTGTCCGTTAATTCTGTCATTGATTTTTTTGTCGAGGATCTTCTTGTCATATCTAATCTTCTAAATCTTTGATCATGAGCTGCAACATGTTGAAATACTTTCTGATGTAGCGGAATGAAGTAAGAAAGAAATTTATAGAACAAGCAAATAGATATAAAATTTCTTATAATTTATAAACAAAAAAATCGTTAGTACTTTTGGATAAGAAACAATGTAATTAAGATAATAACACACCTTGAAGATAAAAATCCTGTTTATGGAGGGAATCTGCATAATCGGATGGCACGGATTTTGATTTAGGAAAGTAACCAAATTCATGAACAAGCTCACTACCTTCTGGAAAGTCGTGAATATTCCCGCTGTCCGCTGAGAAAGTAGAAAACACGTCTTTTTCTTTCCTTTGTTTGTACGATCTTGGGTAACTATGCATGGGACGCCTTCTTTCGGGCGAATGTGTTCTAGGTGATAAATGACCAGGAGATCTGGAAGGTGTTAAATCCGACCAAACTCTTGATACGTGCTGATCTAAAATCGCCTGATCACTATCTTCATCGGTTAATGATTTTTCTCCTAGAGCATCGGCAAGGTCTTTAGGAGCACTATTACCAGGCAAGGCTTCCATGGAATTATCTACACTATGTAATTCGCTTTCTTGTAAATGACGATCAAGTTTTTCTTGCGTTTCTCTATCTCGTCTAACATCTTCCAATTTTTTTATAAGAACCTGTGCAAACTCTTCTGGATTTGAAGGTTGCATGAGATCTCGCGGTACCCGTTGTGTTCGAGGTATGATTGCATGATGTGCGATTGGATCGCGATTTAAATTGGCTAATTCCTTTACTCCTCTAGATTGTCTCGAATATTGTTTTTTACTACGTTGTCTGCTGCCCATTGACATTCCATCGCTGAGAACATAATAATAAATTTAAGATATTTTATAATTATTATATTGTTACATCGTCTACTCCGCGTGTACACAAACGTGAAAAAAAAAAGAAATTATTACGTTTTCCTGTTTTTCTTTCCGTGCAAAATAAAATAACAAACTTACACAGATGAGTCAGTGATGGATATATTGTCTGATTCAGTTCGTGCATCGCTGCTTAAGCTTTGGAGTTCTGAATCTTGTCTGGACACTGGATTGTAGGAAGAATATTGTGTGTGCAGTCTGGATACGTGCATATGATACGGACTAGCTCCATGTTGCAAGTAAATGCTTTAACGTCACGCAAAAACAGCAAACAAACGAAAAAAGAAACAGAAAATATATAAATAAAAATAAACAAATAAAATAAAACTAGAATAACTTTATCATAACTGATAATGTTAAATAATAACTGATTGATAAGTAAAACGACATTAAAATATGAGCGTGCTTTACATTCAATATAAGCTATAGGGTCTTTGTACAAAATTTATTTTCGTGTGAATCTAATTAACATATTATCTATGATTACAACAAAAATACTCTATATTATACATATGTTATATTTAATATTAAATCAATTTTTATTTTTCGGCAAAAATATTCACACAAGCTTAAATATATATATTAATAAAATTCAAGCATTCACACAAATGTATTTGATGATGTCATAAGAACCATCGAAGCTATCAAATAAAAGCCAATACTCTTGTAATAAGATATAATAATTTATTTACCCAGCACATGCTTCTGGCTTAGGCCGTACATCCATTGCTCTAGTCTGTTGAGTAGCTATCAATACATTTTTGGTTAGCCTCAGCTCACTTCTCAATTCTCCAGGTGTCTCACTCGCTGAATGCGAGCTGTGCACAGAGGTAACAAACTCGCTATCCTCGTGTACAGTAGGTAGTAAGCTTGGTCCACAGGAAACAGACATTTCTCGACTAGAACCAGAGCTTGGACATCCACCAGAGTCTGGATTTTGGGAATTCTGTACATATTGGAGATACATTTCTGACCGAAGGAAGTTTGGGTACGTAGTCTCATTGATGAGACGTTCCACTTGTATTTGTACAGCATCAAAAACCTTCTCATCTACTCTTCCTTCTTTTACACGACGATTAGCCTCTTTTCTTACATCTTCTGGTATGGCTAGCTGAGACTTGAGAAAAAATTTTCTGTAAATAAGCTTAACCAGATGATGTATTCTATCTGGATCGCTTTGTTCTTTGAGGCCTTCACAGGCAAACCAAAAATTAAGCGGATTCGCATGTGGTTTGCCTTCTTGATCCAGGTACTTTCTAAACAGTTCCAAACCAACTGAATCCTGCAGTAAGGAATGCAGGTTTTTGGCCCACCGTAAACAAGGAGGAGACGAATCACACTCCATAGTGGTGGTTCTACAACAACCTTCTGGCTCAAAACCCAATGGTGCAGAAGCATCGCAAGAACCCAATGCTGTTGGTGTTGCTAAAGAAGAACGTCTAGGGGTCAGAGCTGGACTCTGTGGACGGAACCTACTTACATGACCTCCTGTTTCCTCTCCTATATTAATAAATTCATTTAATGTTGTCATTTCTATTAGTATATGTACTACATCAAATCCATACTCAATATAAGTAAAATTTACAAATTTTTCTTTATTCAATTCTTACCAGGCACTGGTGGCCTTGGAGAGTTCTCATTGAAGCAACGTGATTCGTTTTGCCGAGATCCACTCATCCTATCTGTTGTAGCCATCACGTATTATTTTATTATCTAAACTTAATTGTGGCCCACGACGTCTCTTAGTGGACATGATTATTCCAAATCTACAAAAATAAAATAATATTAATATAAAATCTGTAAATAATATGTAATATATATATAACATAAAAATACAAACAAAATAAAAAAAGGGAATAATTATAGATAGCTAGTATTAATATGAAATCTGTAATATATTGAACAACAGAGTTTAATATGCAATAAAAAATGATGAATATAAAAACAAATAAATTGAGAAAAGAATTATATAGCAATTATTAGTGTATTAATGTGAAATCTGCAATAGTTCATATTATTCCAAGTTATTGTACAATGTGGAATTGAATATGCAAACTAAGTAAAATATGATAAATATAAAAATAAAAATACAAATAAAATAAAAAACAAAATTATAGAAAGTATTTTTAAATCTAACTTCTGTATTCGGTTATGGTAAACAATATAAGCAAAATTATTCTATTGTAATGACATAGAGAAAGTTTACATGTTTTTATTTAGAAAGCATTATATTATATGTATAAGCTATTTTTGGTGTTATGCAAACAATAGTGCATCATATATAAATGATAACTATGTCATTTGTAGTAATGAAAATGTAATAATAATGACTATTAATCAAAAATTAAGTAAAAGAGACAAATGCATATAACTTCAGTTCTGCGAAATAGAAATAGAACCAAGCGCAACCGTGCTCGTATTAGAATCATAAAACTCATAACATCAATGTCGAACAAGGTCCCAATACTTTCGAACAAAGAACCCGAGCCTGGGCCGTGGTTAGTGGATCGATGGAGCTCTGTGGTGAGTCATATACGAATTCTATATCCCACCAAGATTTTCTGTTCTAAAGAAGTATGGAAGTAAGGCTCTGTATATATGCCCATAGTCTACCTTCCAGCAGTCTGCGCATCGAGAACCACCACTCTGTATACCCCTCTATTGGACTGCGCACCATCTTTGTGTAGTATTGATCGACAAAAATTATAATGTAATCCATTGAATTATCTGGACCTACCTAGGAAGTATCATGATATATCGAAGAACTGTTTGGAATACTTATGGAATAAGAATCCGATAGGCTGGAAAACTAATACTTAAGTTATAATGGTATCGAGCTAGACCTAAGGGAACAAAAGACCTTAAAAGGTAGCCTTTTGTTAAGAAGAACCATAGAAATTTGATTTCTTATAGATCATTTTTTAGGTTTAATATAGACTAAATCTCATCTTGTAAACTTTGCGCACCTTATACAATGAAATTATAGAAAAGATAACGTACTCATATTATTTTTTAAATATCTTGATAAATTATTGATTGTAGTCATTGTATATAACTACGATAAGCATAATAACATTAGCAAGAGTTATGTTTATCATATAACTAGTATATATGGTAACGGTAGTAGTAACATGTGATAAATAATGAATATCTATGTACAATTTCAGAGCGCTATATTTACTTATGTTTTTTTAGTTTCTCTATCATTTAAAGCAGCGAACCACGATGAATGGAAAAATGTAAACTCAAGTTCTATGAAAGAGAAAGTATGAAATGAAAAGCTGTCATAATGAATCATCTCACTCCACCGCACTTTTACCTGACTCAAGGGATGGTGAAAAGCTTACATACCCATTTTGACGGCTACCCTCTGTAGGTAGGCTTGAAATATACACAAGCTTAATAGGATCCGTTATGAGTTCAGTATAAGATGCTATTATGAATTATTGTCGTCTAATATAAATGATTCTTCTATCTTTCCAACCATACGATACCATCGATAACACTGCTCGCAGTAAACTGAGCTACGGTAGCGTCCTGGCCAGGACTGAGGGCTACGTCAATAGAAGGGGGTTGGAATAGGTAGGGAGTATATAAAATCCTGACAGATTGCGAGCTGCGCAGACTAGAAATCTATACTCAAAGGTAATAATTGAAACGGGCTGAAGTACGCTAAGAATTGCTCAAACTATATAGATAGATATATGAAGTACATATAAGAGCGTACATTTCTATTCTCATAAGCATCTTATATAAGAATGGTAATACATTTTTCAAACCCGCATGTAAAAAGAGATTGGTATCTCACATTTTAACTACGAGAAGTATTAACGCATCTTTACTCAAGAAACTTTCATTCTTATCGTGTAAAATACTAATATACCTAGAGCATTTAGTTCATTATGATCAATCATGATTTGACACTTTGATGTCCAACTTTCATCGAATACATTGGTTGTGACACCAATGTGGTACCAGTGAACGACATGGTGTTAATAAATCATAAATTGGGCTTTATTTAATAATACATTAATCATATTATAATATTAAGTGATTTCACTTTGAACATTTCACCCTATGTTTCTGATTCAGTAATATGTTTATCTGTTAAAAATTACTATGATAAATAAAAAAAGTATATGAAATGAAGCTTTTCTAAATTAGTTATTACTTATTTCGAATTAATATACATATATACTGTATAATTTGTATATATAATACTGTATAATATATATATATATACTGTAAAATTTGTAAAACGTCTATTATCATTATTATATTTTTAATTTTATAAGTAACAAATTATAATAATATAAACATATTACTTTTTCTCGAATAATTCGTTGATAATACTTGGTTTAGAAATTAAAAATACTTAATGATATAAATTGTAACTCTTCTCCATCTTCATACAGGTTTTCCACTTCAAATTAACCCTTTTGCAAATCTTATTGATTTTTGTGCCAATCAAATTTATTCTTTCATCTTTTGTTAATTGTTTGTACAGCGAATTTGTTTTGCAAAAAGGTAAATGTTATTTGCAAAAGGATTAATTTGAAATGCAAAAAGATGAATATGATCTGCAAAATGATTAATTTAAAAAAAAAGAATGTATACACTTATATACTACTTTCTTCGGATATATCAAATTAACTAAAGCATACAAATTTTGATCGATAGATGTCGCGAAAATATATATATATGTATATATATTTGTACATGTGAGTATTATGTATATATGATGATGGTTTAACTGAATATCGTTAGACATACAAAGTTTTCAAGTTTAAATGGCCTTTAAAGCGTGAAAATAATGATTTCAATTTACAGCTTAACCACTTCCCCACATGCATCACCCTCACTTTTAATTTTGCTTAATGATGTCTGTCGGTGTAATTATTTTACCGGCGGCACCATAAGATATAATTATACGCGGGCGAATACGCTCAGGCGTAGAAAACTCGTTGATAAAGTCGATCCACTAGATAACTTTTCCTTCGCCCGCAGATAAGAATCATTACATGTTCCAATCTTTAACTACTAGTAATTATCGACAATACATATACAATACTGGTTTTGCACTTCAAATTCATCCGTTTTCAAATGAAGTTCATAATTTTCGAAAAATACAATTTTTTTTATAGAATTGTTTAATTTTCTTACAATCTAAAATCCAACTGGTAATTTACTTGGACAATTTTTTGAGTTGTTTTTTTTTTTACCAAAAATTTGATTTGCAATAAGTTTAATTTAGAATCCAAAACCTGTATATATTCGTTATACACAATATAAGATATATTTTAAATAATACTTATTAATGATTCAATGATTATATTAATGATTTTAATCCATGTAGTATGTAAATCTTTAAATAAGATCTTATTTTATATTTGACTTATAAATATCAATTTATCTGATTCAATTTGATTTTCAATTTTTTTCAATCTTTGTGGATTAGTTTTGTTTGACATTGCATTCCCCACCGCCTACTATCTTTCTCTTACTCCTTCATTCCAACATTTCTCTTCTTTTTTTCTTGCCGATTTTTCTAATCTCTCTCGAAAAAGAAATAGTTGAGGCATATAATACGAGTAAGGTTTTACTGATATTGAGATTTTTTGAAGCGTATAAGGAAGTTGAATCTATGAAAAGTATCAATGCCGTTCATCTGGAAACATTTCTCGGTTTTCACTATACTAAAGAGAACGATATTAAAATGAACGCATGAACGATTTGAAGGACCAAGAACGACGAATGGATACCAGAACCTGCAATGCAACCTTGATAACGCGCGAGGTGCGAATATAATGCGGTCAAATTTAAAAATGTTCTTTTTGCGCATATAACTTTTCTTGCACATTTTCTTGTGTGTATATGTAGTAAATTTTAAACATATACGTGTCGGTAATTATAACAGTGAATCAATTGTAAGTCAAGAATTAGAAAAATGAATATTTTATGATTTATTTTATAAAGTAAATCATAAAATAAATTTGTATAATTCTGTGACTTAGACCTTTATAATAATGACCAGCACATATATTTTCTTTTTATTTCACCGAGAATAGTGGAAGCACATCGGGAGCGCAGATGATAGTCGATAGGGAAATGGAAAGGAGATGTGACGATAAAAATAAAAATAAAAATAAAACAACAACGCTACACTTTGAATGCTTTAGTTTTGTACGAAACAGAAAAAGAAGAAAAAGAAAAAACAAGAACCAATTGGCCGGTGGTATCGCATGATCTTCGAACTACCAGCTTCATGGCATTATCACCATAAGACTGTTGTTCGCAATGAAATCATTTATTTTTTTGTCCAATGCAATCGAACCCAATCGCGAATCGAAACCAACAAGAAAAATAATTCAATAAAATAATTACAAATAGCTGATTGATATAACAATTTCTCAAAATGACTCGGAATATACATATAAGTTTATAAATAGTAATTAAAAAAGAAATTATTCCAAAAGGAATTATAGGAAGTAAAATTTGATTTTATTCCCAATGGGGAAGGAAGGGAAAGTGATAATAGGGACTGATACATAGATTTTACACACCAAATTCAACTTTTTGCAAATCAAATTCAACCTCTAAGGTACGGTAAAGTAAAGACAAAGAAAGGAGAAAACATATTTTGAATGAGTGCGTTATTTAGGAATTACAATTATTTCTCTCTCTGTGCGCGCGTGTGTATATATGTTCCTACGTGTTCGCCTATATGCGTGTATTTGTATATATGTGTGTGTGTGTGTGTGTGTGA